AGCAGAGAGAGTGAGAAGCACAGAAGGGTGAGTATAGAGAGAGGCAAAGAGGAGGGGACTTCAGGAATCTCAGAGTGTAGCCAGGACAGGAAAGCCCAATTTCCCCTGGGCTGGTACCTGTGGCTATTTCAACCAATAGCCACTGGGGCAGCAGAGAGCCACCACACAGCTAAAAAAATGCACCAATCAGGAGCAGCCATCCACTAGTGGGTGGGGTTGGGGGGGTGAGATTAGGGGAATATGGGGAGGGGCCAAGATTTACAGGTGGGCCCAAGGAAAATCACCAGGACCAGTGGCCTATGTCCAGGGGCTTCTGTGGTTTTCCCACTGGAAGCCAGTACCCCTAATGCAAGCAGGGTTAGGTCTTAACAAGGGGAAATGGAAGTCTAGAAGTGACTTTAAAATTAGTAACTCCTGCCTCATTTACAGTTTTATTTTTAGTATTACTGTTGTTGTTGTTGTTATTATCTTAAGTGGCACACCTGTGCTCTGAAACCTAGATTTACATCACTTGCCACCCTTAAAGTGTACCCTCTCTTTAAAATATTTAGTCTACATGGGGCAGCCACTGGAATCCACTGATGGGGAAATTAAAATTTCTGACTTGTAACGTCGATGGCTAGAATAGCAGCCTCCCTCAAGCAGTGTGATCCATGATCAGTTCATTTGTGTGTTTGGCTTCCCTAATTTCAGCAGAAGAAGTCCGAATCGAGTTGGAGTTGCCTTTAGGAAAAAAATGTGTTTCCCATGAATTGGGTTGGATGGGCAGGGGCTCTGTGGGAGCACATCTCACTTCTTCCACTCTGACCTCACTGTGCCTTCAGAGACTTTGGAACCTGCATGGCAGCGACTCTGTTAGGAATCTGGACGGTCACCTGGAATGATGTAGAACCCCAGGAATGGAACCCCAGAGAATGCAAAAGGACCTCAATCCGGAGTAACATGCCCCCCAAGCTGCCACTTCAGTTTTTCTGTGGCATCATCAAGGGACCTGGTATGCTGTAAATAGATTAGCAAGTCTTTTATTGGAAAAGACTTGAAAATGGCTTCCTCCCTGTTGGTGGTATGGTCATCTGGGGTGATTTTTCCTGCTGCTAGTGAGGTCACTCAGCCAGAGCCCTGGTGGCTTTCTCCAGATGTCCGCCAGGCCTGGCCTGGCCCCATTCCTGCGCCAGGCTCTCAGGGGCTTTGTGTTTTGGATTGGTCAGAGCTGGCCAAGACTGGGAAACGGGAGGGATGAATCCTTCAGAAAGCGGCATTGTCCCTGCTGGAACCCTGGTGGAGGTTGTATAGAGAGAAAGTGCATGTGGGGGAAAGGGACTCTAGCTTCTGGGGGTTCTACGAGTGACCCAGGCCAGCGAGCACAGGGCAGTTTTAGAAGTCCAGTTCCCAGCAAACTTCCACAAGTTCCAAGATGGCGGAAAGAGCTGCTGGGTCTTCTTTTGAAATAAGGTCAGTGGCATTAGCCACCAAAGAGGTGGGAGGAACACCACAAAGGAGATGGTTCTCTGGGGGAACTTTCCTGCTTTTAAGAGAATGGAACTGTCTGTTATCCCTAGGGAGTAAAAGGGCACATCAGATGGGCATCTACATTGTGCCATCACCATGTCCTTCCTTCTGTTTGCCTATCTGTCTTGGCATCTGTCAAGTGAGGTGCTGTGTTTGAAAGGGGGAGCCAACCACAGATTCTGCCCTCGAGAGAAGATAGATGTCAAGATTAAAATCTGTGCTGTCCCGAAAACCTTTGGTGGGACAAAG